CACTGAAGATCAGTACACGCGGCCGTTATGCCTATTTTCCTGCCCCACAATTAAGCAACTGAAACTTGAATATGTGGATCTTTGTCTCCCTGCTAATGCTCGACCTAGTAATATATTTCCCAGTGTCACCTCTTTAACATTCACAAATACTAGGTTTCAGCGCAATACCAGTGGAATTCTCCTCAAGATTCCTAATCTTGAAGAGCTGGTATTTTATGGTTGTGATGACATGGATGATTTCCTGATCAGTGCTCCCAAACTTAAGAGCCTCACTTTCACTGAATGTTCTTTTGTGATTGAATGGAAATGGTTTGAGCTACACTTTCCCGTGATTAAGACTCTTCAATTTTCTACATATATGTTCGTGGTGAGAATCTGGCCTTTCATAAAGTGTTTCCTCTTCATAATGAATTGTGGGGATACATGATTTTTGCTCGTCCTGTTTGAGAGTTCTTGTCTCACTCAAGGTTAACTATTAGTTATGTTTTATCCTATTTTTACTCTTTAATTAGGAAGGTGGTGAAGTTAATAATGTGCATGAGAGGTTCCCAGCTGCAATAAACCTGCAAGTGATTCAGCTGGATGGTTTATGTTTTGCTTGCCAGATGTGCTTACCTCTTGTTACTCAATTTCTTAAAATATGTCCAAACCTATGCGAACTAGAATTAAAGATGGGATATCGGGTACTTATATCCAAAATTATCCTCTATGCTCTGTGATTAAGATCAGAATTACAAGATATTTATGTTCTAATATTTCTTTTACTTTGTTGTGTTGTAGTCACATTGGAAGGTTGGTGATCCAAGTATTTTGGAAAATCTAGACGATTGGTTTAATAACCAAGATCTGTGCAAGCTTAAAACAGTTAAGATGGAATCATTTACAGGATTACGACAGGAAATACTCTTCATCAAAACAATTCTTTCAAAGTCTCCCACACTAGAGGAAGTTCTTATTAATGAAGATAATCATGTCCATACCCCTGTCAACCCTATGACTCTCAAAATCACAAGGGAGATGATCAGATTCCCTCGCGCGTCTCCAGTAGCACAAGTAATCTTCTTGGACACCAAATAAAGCTATACTCGAGTGGCTGGTTTGTTCCTGGATTAGGCTCTTTGCAACAGTTTAGAAGGCGTAACTCCATGAGTTATGGTTGTGCATGTAAGAACCCAAAATTTTGATCACTTGTTTTGTAAAATATTTGGTTTGTATCTAATATGCTTCAATTTCATTTTGTGACTGAAGGTTTCTTCAATTTTCTTTTCATGGTTGCAACTTGAAATTTATGGGCTCAGAAAATTCGAGCAATTTTGAAGTAACGTGCTGAGGTTTATTGGTGTTTGCTTTGTACGACTGTTTGTTTCTGCTGATATATTTCTGAGACTAACTATCATCAAATTACACCCCGTTGAGTATTTCTTCATTACCTAGTATCTACTCGTATATGTTTTTACTTGGACTCTAATTTGCTAGTCTGATCTAGTCTGAACTGGTTGATCTAGTTTGGTCTTGTTTCTTTGTATTTTTATAACTATCCAAGTCTGGTCTGAACTGGTCTGGTCTGGGAGAAATTACATCCCTAGGACTGTTTACTTTTTTTCTCATTAAGTCCTGAATGTATTAACACGTTTGTCTGCATTAAGCTATCTGTCTGGATTAAGTTACACTGAGATAACAAGCTGTTTACTAAGTGTGTTGAATGAGAAGTCTGAATCATGTCTAATGACCAAATAATCCTCCTGTCTATAACAAGTGCTGAATGTATATTATCTATTTACTTTCTTTGTTCTGAAAGATAAAATTTATATACCAGAAAATAATAATACTATGAATTACTTAAATAAAAGAGTCATATTTCATGATAAAACAAAGTCGAGATACTTGCTAAAATTTGGATTTAGCAATTTGAGCACCAAAGTTTCTAAAATTTGAGCAAAAAATTGTTGAGAAATTTGCTCCTAGCAGAACCAAATCATAGCTCTTTTACAAAAATAATACCTGCTAATGTTTTTTCCATTCATATTACTTATTTAGTTCTAGATTAGGAAACCTATTTCTAACTTTCCAAATTTGCCCTTCAGGCCAAAAAATTTGCCACCGGGTTCTAAACCCTTAGGTTGCAAATGGATCTTCAAAAAGAAGATGAAAGTGGATGGAACTGTTGACAGGTTCAAGGCTCGGTTGGTCATTCAAGGTTTTAGAAAAAAACTCGAAATTGACTATTTTGATACGTATGCGCCGGTTGCTCGAATTACAACCATTAGGTTGTTAATTGCTTTGGCGGCTATACACAATCTGATTATACATCAGATGGATGTCAAGACGACATTTTTAAATGGTGATCTTGATGAGGAAGTTTACATGAAACAACGGGAAGGTTTTGTTATGCCGGGAAATGAGCATAAGGTTTGTAAACTTGTCAAATCATTGTATGGGCTGAAACAAGCACCCAAACAATGACATCAAAAGTTTGATGAAGTTATTTTGTCCAATGGTTTTAGTTTACACCAATTAGACAAATGTGTCTATAGCCGATTTGATGCCTTAGGGGCGGGTGTGATCATATGTCTTTATGTTGATGACATGCTGATTTTTGGAACTGACCAAAATCAGGTTGATGAAACCAAAAGGTTGTTATCAAGGTTTTCCATGAAGGACATGGGGGAGGCGGATGTGATCCTTGGTATAAGGATTAAACGGGTAAACAAAGGGACTGCTTTGACACAAGCTCATTATGTTGAGAATATTCTCAAAAGGTTTAATTATAGTGATTGTTCACCCATTGGTACTCCCATGGATCCTAGTGTGAAGTTGATGCCTAATAAAGGAAAGGCGGTATCAAAACTTGAGTATTCTCAAGCCTTTGGTAGTCTGATGTATGCCATGAAAAGCATTCGGCCGGATATTGCTTATGTCGTGGGAAGGTTGAGCCGGTTTACTAGTAATCCTAGTACTCAACATTAGCACACAATGAAGAGAGTGTTCAAGTATTTAAAGGGAACCATGGATTATGGTTTGTGTTACTTTGAGTATCCTTCGGTTTTAGAGGGATATTCGGATGCAAGTTGAATATCCAATGTAGAGGACCATTCTTCTACAAGTGGTTGTGTATTCTTGCTTGGGGGATGTGCCATTTCTTGGGCATCCAAGAAGCAAACTTGTATCACAAGTTCAACTATGGAATCTGAGTTTGTTGCGTTGGCTACCGCCAGTAAAGAGGCGGAGTGATTAAGAAATTTAATTTTGAGATTCCATTGTGGGGGAAGCCGATTGCACCTATTTCTATCCATTGTGATAGTGCTGCCACTTTGGCTAAGGCGTATAGTCATGTTTATAATGGCAAGTCTAGACACTTAGGTGTTAGACATAGTATGATTAGAAAACTAATCATGAATGGTGTAATTTCGGTGGAATTTTAAGATCGCAACATAACTTGGCGGACCACTTGACCAAAAGTTTGGCCCGGGACTTAGTGCACAAGTCTGTTAAAGGGATGGGTTTAAAGTCCATTTAATCCTTAATGGTGAGACACCCAATTCCCCTCTAATACAACGTTAGAGGCTGAATTCAATGCGGAAATCTCACACTTAATGGATTGGAACACACAATGAAAATCATGCCAAGGTGTGTGTTCGGACCTGTAGTAGGGAGGCTGAATTTATTTCTTAATAATTCCTTTGATAAAGTGTAAGCAGGTACACGAGTAAAGTGATTACCTATATGATCGTGAAGTGTAGCAGCACTTCAAAAAGCTTGGGACTTGGCTTTTATACGATCATGAATGGGATTAGGACACACAGCTTTATAATTATTTCAAGTTTGTATTCTAGTGGAGTATAGAAACTTGTATGTATTTTATCTTGAGGTATTCAAATGGGTTGAAGGGTTCAATACGTAGGACACCCCGATTCTCGAATAATTATTTATGTGCAAGTTTTGGTTTGTAAATTTTGTTATGTTATTTCATGGGTTACACTAAAATGGGGGAGGATTGTTGGTGATTTTTGTATCACCGGCCGTTTTGTGTAATTGGAAATGATATGAGTGCCAATGGGAATTAGAACTATGATCTAATACAAGTTAGTAGGTGTGGAGTGCACATTTTGTATAAGAACTAGTTTAATTCCAAAGTGTCTACGTTAGTGGAACTCGAGGTAGAACTCGAGGTATAACTTTCAGTAGACCAGCTCTGTGGTTCTAGACCGAGTTCTAGAACGGTTAGGCAGTTTCCAGCAGTTTCCCAAAAAACTGCTGCAGTTATTCTTAAATGTGTTGCAACTGCCTAGGACGGTGAATATGGATATATATCATCACCATATTTCGTACAGAGGAGTAGGAGAAAACATATACAACATATCTTCATTACTTTGGCACTCAAATTAAAGATAACAATCTATATACTTGACTAGTTTGGCTCTAGTTCTTGTGTCTAAGTTCTAGAGTGTCCTTAAGGATTATCCTAGATTGAATTTCTTGTAACTCAGGCATAGGGGAGAAATATCAATTCAGAAAGTGAACTTACATGATCCTTAAGCAATCCAAGTACTCGATTATCACCCCCTACGTGATATACTCCAACATAGCAATCCAACTTTCTTTTTTGGGACATCCCATTTACTGATTTATGTTTTCTTTTTACACAATTCCTTTTACATTAAATGTCCTAATTACCCTTGATCATCTACCCACTTTTTATATTTGAGTGGATAACATTAATTTCCCCCAAAAGTCAAAGGGCATCCAAGTCATTTGTTCTTTTATTAATTGAGCTCCTAAAACACCGTGCCAAAAACAAACGGCAAGATTCAACCGGGACAGAGGGAGTATATATGTTTTATTTTCAGAATATGACTCATTTACTCTTATTTGGACCTTCTTTTATTGATAGTACTAAATAAGTCATTTTTTGAAATAAAGTATATTTAATTTTACATCTGTTTTGAACTTTGTCCCTAATTTACATCTGTTTTGAATTATTTCTTTAAAAGGTAACAATGGGAGTACATAAGAGAAAAAGAAAAAGAAAAAACAAATACTACGTACTAGTTTCATCACAAGTTATAAGCCAGAGCAGCACTTAAGAAGAAGAACACATGACATGGAAAAGACAATATGGCCGCGGCGGATTTTACAACAGAGTCGCGGGCAGAGATGGGACTCGAATTTGCAGCCGCCGGCGTGGCAATACTTGGACCTGGGCAGAAGGTGATAAGATAGTTGTTGTTAGGCCCTGAAGGGCAAGTGAATGTACTGCTGCTATCATCATACGCATAGCTATAAGCTTGAGGGCACGATTGCTTGAAATATACAGCGTACGCCGACGCCTGGCAAGTCGCCGCCGTCGCATAAGCCCCCGTGCAACAGAACTGCGGCTGATTGAATGCCACGCACGCGCTCTTGCAGCCCACCGTCACGCCGGAGGCATCCTTCAATGCCAACGCCGGCTGGCAACCCGCGTTCACGTTTCCTTGGCAGACAACCGGCATGCAGGTAGCCGAGGCGGCGATACCCACCGGCTCCACGGTTACCGGGAGGTTGAACCCGTCCACGAGACTTACGTCGTAAAAGTCTTGCGCGTTGTACCCGTCGAATGTGAACTCGACTAGACTGGCCGGAGGGATGGCGCCGGCTCCGTTGCAGGTGACTGCGCCGGAGGCACAGTCGGCGGTCTGGCAAGCGAATGAACCTGTGGGACCGGCGGCGCATGAAGTTCTGGCCCAGAAACGACCTGACCAATGAGGGGGTATCTGAATAGGTGCCGACGATGCGCCCGCTGCTAATTCAAAACCGGTATTAGGTAACGGTGGGATGCCGGCGCCGGTTAGGGTCGCCGGCCATATGGTGTATGGGCAATTGTTTTTTACTGTGATCATGGCCGGCCGAACGTCTGAAATTTTAAAAAAAATTACATATTTATGAGGATTAGAGTAATAATAGAATGATTATTGTAGCTTATATTCAATTTTTAAATCTAAGTTACCATGACATTGCGTTGTAGTAACTATTAGTTATATTTGTGAAAATGATTATATTTTAGTAATTGTTTTGGAAAAACTCGAAATTTAAAACCCCCAAACATAACAACAACAACAATAATAATACAGAATATAATACGGAGTACGTACTACTAACAAAAGTAATTAATGCATAACTATGAGATTATGAGATTATACTGTAATAACTATTAGTCACATGTTTGTAAGTAAGTTTCATTTTACTAATATTTAAAAAAAACTCATAATAATAACAACAAGAAGAAAATCAGCAGCAATTTTAGTATAAAATTATTTATAGTCCCTTAAATTAGAGTATGTTTGTGCATATTATTATTGATTATATATTGACTTAATTGGAGATATGATCATGTCCTCTAATTAAAAAATCGCCGGTAAATAAAAAGTAGTTCAATGACATCCTCCAAAATATTAGATCTTAATGTAAGATCTAAACCAAAAATTGCCAAAATAGAAGATTTTTAATGTAAGTAAATTTGTTAGTTATGTGATAGTATTTGCAATTAAGGTGAGTTGCACTAAACGAATTTCCTTAAAAACATAAAAGATATAAATAATGACCGGATACAATGGATAAATCGGATGATTGTAGTTGGTAAATTCAATGGTACCGTCAAGGTATATATCCATATGGATCAAACAAAATACTACCTCTGTTCCTATATAAAAGTATCCATTCATTTTACACACATCTTAAGAAAATGGGTTTGGTTGATACTGTTTGGCACTGTTTGGACACTGTTCGGCACTGTTTGGCATTGTTCGACACTGTTTTGCACTGTTTTGTTTGCCAAAAAAGGAAAGGGAACTTTTATTTAGGGACGGCCTGAAAAGGAAACATATGCTTTTATTTAGGGACGAAGGGAGTATTGCACTTGAATTAAAAGAAAATTAAAAGTGATATAATTACTTGGACCAATCAAATGAGTGATAGATACGATATCTCGTTTTTCTAAATAAGTACAAAAGTTCTCACCACTAATATAATGTTATAAGTGCAAATTAAAGTCTATAAGTATGTATTCTATAAGTCTATAATTCAAAATTAAAACATTCAATTCATAACATTAAAAAATTCAAAATTAAAACATTCAAGTTTATAAGTGTATTCCCTAAGTACACCATATTTTTGTGATAATCTTATTTTGAAATATACTAACATTTTTAGTCCTATTTAAGGTAATTTCTCTTATAGCTAGTGATGGAAAAGCAGAATGTTATTGTTGTGTCCTTGCAGTTTACGGCAATTTACACCATGAGGATGGTGCGCCCGATCCCAAAACGACGCAACATCCATTATTTTTTAGGGAAAAAACCTAAATAATACTAAAACACATGAGTTTTCTCAAAATATGACTCCATATGTTTTTTTATCTTCCGTATGACTACACAGCTATGATTCCGGCGGTTATGCGCATGCAGTTATTAGTCCTACGGTTACAAACTACTCATACATTAGGAAAAATTAGCAAGTAGTCATAGATTGGTCATGACACTAAGTTTTAGTGATACGAGGGATAAATTTCTCTATTTTTTATTTGTTTTATTGTTAAAAATTATAATAACTTTTTTATTTGATATCCGATTTTTATAAATTTTATATCAATTTTTTTTTATTTTTCATGATCTATCAAATGAGACCAATATTGCTTGTGTAATTTTAACACATTATTTTGAAGTTATATTTGATAAAATATCATGAAGTTACATCTTCTTCTGCATGAGTTACATCTTATTGAACGCGAGTTACATCTTAATATACGCGAGTGACATCTTAATGTATGTGAGTTACACCATGAAATAAACCCCTGCTACATCTTTCATTTTTATCATTTGAAAAATAGTGTATGAATATGAAATACAATATACTTATTTTATGTGGATTAATAAAATTTTGTATTAAATTGGCAAAGAAAAAAAATAATTCAGTTATAATTGAATTAGTTCAAGATAAAGCTAAGATATGTAAAAAAATCACACATAATTAGATATAACTCACGCATAATTACATGTAACTCGCGCATAAAAGTATGTAACTCGTGTATAACAAGATGTAACTCACACATAACAAGATGTAACTCACACATAATTACATGTAACTTGCACATAAAAGTATGTAACTCGTGTATAGCAAGATGTAACTCACACATAATAACTTGTAATTGGAGTATAAGATGATGCAACTTCGTATATTATCAAATGTAACTCCAAGCTAGAAGCAAAATAAACAAACTCAATATCTTAAAAACCTCTAAAAACATATATAAAAGTGATAAAAAATATATATTATAGAAAAAGTGTGCATATAAATATATATTACAGAAAAATGTATGAATGTAAAAAATTAAAATTACATAAGCAATATTGGTCTCATTTGAAAGATCATGAAAAATAAAAATTTTTGATATAAATTTTATAAAAATCGGATCAAAAATAAAAAAATTATTAACAATTTTAAGAAAAGGAAAAATAAAAAATAACAAAGGGTGCATGGTGCTCACCATGCACCGGTTCCAAGGTATAAGCACTGACAGTTTACTTATCCTTTGGGGCGGATTAATTTTCACTCAGTGCATAACTATAGTGTTTATAGTAAAACTGAGTTAGAAACTGTTGACATGTCACTCTCTTATTGGTTAACAAATATTCTAGTATCACTACTATTAAAACATTTAATTAGTTCCACATAAAAAGGAAATGGAGAAAAAGTATGAGAAAAAAATGTAAGGAAAAACGTTGGAGAAAAAAGTGCTAAAAATTATACACAGACTTCACAAATTAAAATAAAAAACATTCAATAAATGCGTAGGAGAAAAGACCCTTCAATATATTTAATATGTAGGAGAAAAAAAATCTTTAATACATTAAAACATTTAATAAATGTGAAAGGGCTAACTTGGCAAAAAAAAATTGGAAGGGCTAATGGGAAAGATTTGAGAAAATGTAGGAGAAAAAACGTAAAAACATACTACCTCCGTTCTTAAATAAATGCAACACTTTGACTTTTACACTATTCACATGTTCTACTTTGACTACGTTTTATTTATTAATGTAATAATATTATTTTATGGAAAAAATATTGTTAAACTTGTCTCATTGTAAATTTTCATAATCTAATTTTTTTAATTTTTTACTAATACAAAATCATTTATATTAATGGTCAAAGTTGTGTCTCGGCAAGTGTGAAATGTTGACCGTTGCATTTATTTAAGAACGGAGGAAGTATCTTTAATACCAATCATATTAAATTATTAATGAGATATAATTTTCAGAATAAATGCAATATCAATAATTCAATTTCCAAAGAAATCTTACACACCAAATTCTTCTATAAATATTGAGACTCTAATACATATGATAGGACATTAAGTATACATAATTACTGTTACACAATTGAAAGAGGTTCTAATTCAGAACTAAATACATATAAACCGGACTCTAATCGTGTAACAACATTATTATACATTTGAATGAGACTATGATACACGTGACTATCTAAACAACGTAAAACGCACACCCTCCCCCCATTACTTCCGATTAACCACTTCTTTTCATCCTTCATATATCATCAAATTAACCCTATAAATAATTTACTACTATTACAACAATTAGCATATAAACCACAACATAACCACGGAATTCATATACTCCCAAGAAATGACAATTCCTCACCCATCTTTTATAGTGCAATATGATTGCATTGGGAATATCTCAAACAAAAATAACATTGATCTTTGCGTGTAAGGTTGGTTACTCATCGGGATAACATCCGCCAGCCTAATCTAATTCAACTTATTTGATATGAGCTAATTTCAAGTGACGAAAAGGTATACTTAAGTTTAGCAAATCTATAAATGCTTGAGTAATGTTTACATAAATCTTATAAAAATATCATTTATTTAATTTAGCTTTCAATAAATTATCTATTTTTTATTAGAAGAATGGAATTGCCTTTCGAAGAAATTGCCTTTATGGGAGTAATCTCCCTTTTAGACGTTTTTCATATAAAAAAAATTAAGCACAAGAAAAAGACAATGCTAGAAGTAATTATTATCTCAGAAACTTAAAAATATCTAATTAAAACTGAAATAAATCGAATGAAATTTTATATTGAATAAACCTATCTTATAATTAGTTGAATGTAAGGGCCGTAAATTGTACTATTTGGCTATAATATAAGCAATAGTTGTTGGCAACAAAGTTATTTTGTGAATTTTTTTACAAATTAGCAATAAGATAAATCTTCTCATATTGTTAAATTTAAGAATTTTTTCATTTTGTTCTTTATACATTTTAACTCATATTTTCGATCGGGTGCATTATATACAATGCACTATACCACCCAATTCTTTTAACGTCTCATTCCAAAAAAACATTTAATGCAAACATTATTATAACATCAAAGAAATGAATGTTGGAAGCAATATATATGGCTTCTGTTTGAGAATTTCAGAAAATTCAAAATGTTTATCATTCAAGGGAGTCCCAAATCAAGCTTATTAATAGTCACGAAATTGATCCATCTGGGATGAAGTGTCAATGAGTTACAACTATTTTTTAGACTCTTGACAAAACGTTAAGAGGTATATGCTCAATAGTAAATTCAAAGAATGAAGGGTATGCTAAATGATCCCTAAAGGGTATGCTAAATGTTGCTTTTGGAGAAGATTTTCGGCGGACACTACATGTAATCCCTAAAGGGTATGCTAAATGATCCTTACCACATTAGTATTTTCATTTTCCTCTACTTTGATTACTTTGCATACTATGAACGTAACTTTTTCAACTAATAATAATATGCTCATAAAAAGAAATAATAACAATAATAATAAGTCTAAAACCAAAGGAATTAAATAATAATAAAAAACATATACACATCCGTTCTTTAAAATTATATTTCTCATTTCCCAATGAAATATTAGTACACACATTCTTTTTCAGCATAAAATATGTTATTAACAAGTTTTATAAATAATTCACCGTCTCTATTGATATTCTCTATTTTAATTCATATCATCGTGAAACTGCCGGGGCATGACGCCCCGGGTGTTACACTAGTTTTCAATATATGTAGCATAGTCGAGTCATACGACTGTAGCCACTACATGAATATGCATATGTATAGTAGCATTTTTAATCTCCTCATTACGTTACAAAACACCATATAATTTTTAAGATTACTGATTACATTTTATGGAACTAGTACATTTAATTAGTTGATTAGTGTCTCATTTACTTGTTTTACTTTTTTTGAATTTTTCCAAAATAAGTGTCACATTTTCTTTTCTAGAAAGAATACGTGGTTTACAACATTTCTTCTTATTATACTCAAATGTCAACCATAATTTTTATTTTTTCAATCATTTTATTTAACAATTGTGCCAAATCAAAGTGAACACATAATAAAATGGGATGGAAGTAAATATCATGTATAAATGTCTTTGAATAATACTTCATTATATATATTTTGTACCCATAAATATCAATCGATCATGCATGAATCATGTATGCGTCATGTATTAGTCATGCTCATGATCAAGTAATATACTTATTTGGTGTTGGAATACTCATTCAGACCTTAGCAGCTTAAATAGGAATGAAACTACTTATAACTTCTATGTTAAATGATACTGCAATAATGAAAGTTTCAAAAGTTTGACGCTCAAGTTAAAAACGAGTGTACGTGTATGAAGTAAATATCTCAACATTGTATGCAACTTTGGTAGCATATGCTAAATATGCTAAATATTGCAATAAATGCCAAAAATGTCACAATATATCAAATGTAGCATTTTTAGTATGTTGCATTCGACTGTTGTTACAATAGATGTTATATAGTACGAAGTATCAATTAAGAGATGTATACTAATATAAACTTTTGTCATACAAACACGCATAATTTATCATATAATATATGTGGATGGAAATTTTATAGTTTACAAAACAAATATTTCATTTCTTTTTTGCAAGAGAGAGAATTAACTTTCATTAATCAATCATTGTCAAGAATACATGAAATAAAAGACGTTGATCAACAAACCAATAATGCGAATCAGACATGGAACAAGCTGCTTTAGCGATGATATGAGCTAACTTGTTCGATGACCGCCTAAAAAAATATAATCCATATGTGTGAATGATATATACAATTTCATAGTTCCTTCTTATACACAACCCTCACAACCGTTGGAATATTTTGAAGATAATTCACAGTTTTTGTGGCATTAAGTGGGAATTAAAACAAAATCAAGGTTTAAAAGAGCGTTTATGAACGTAACACAGAAGTAATTAATTACCACAAAGAAATGTGCCGGCAAAGAATAGGAAGAGCAGCAATGGAGCATCCATGGAAAGTAATCCACAATAACTATGACGAATGATTATCGCACAAATTCTATATTGTTCAGAAACTTCTGATTCTAAGAAGTGGAAACAGCCTTATTTAAGAACACATGTATGCAATTGGTTATTATGAAGCTTGGAAGAAAGCTAAATGATTGATGGAAGAATCTTAATTTGGAAGTATCTTTAATCTCCAAACTATACTACAGGAATATCTTCCACTTGAGTTTATTAATTAATTCTTCCCAAAATTTTTGGATGGTAGTTCTTTCCATTTATGATTACTTCCTCAAACAACCAAATTAGCTTCTTAATTTTTTTCAACAATTTGGAGTCAACAATATTGTATTATTGGGATATTTTTAATTGGATTAAAGTTTTATGATTAAAGTCTAATGTGATCTGATCTAATTTATTTATGTTTGATCATCCAATTTAGTATGAATATATGTTGTTCTTCGTGAATATTTTATTTTTCTTCTCCAATAAGTCTCTGTACATTTACTTTTTTAATTTGTATGGACGTATACGGAGTAGTTTATAAAAAGGCCCTATTGGTACGTATTCTCTAACTTTCTCTCATTCTCAAAAAGTTCTCATTTATAATGCTTCTTTCTCATATACTCCCTCCTTCTAACTTTCTTTTTTCAAAAGACCCAAATTAGAAGTTATCACTTTGCATATTTTTATTCAAATGTTATCCTTATACTTTTATTTTATTTACCCATCTTACACCCACTTCGTTTTTAGCACTCATGGAAAAAATGAGTATGTGCCTTTCTCATTCGGAAATCAGTAAAATTGGCGATTAACTTTATGTTGGAAAATCGAAAAAGTATCAAATTAGAATGTTTTTATTTGATTGTTTTCGGTCACCTCACAGATCATGTCATATGAGACAAGATTTAAACATACTAAATCAGATCAAACCATGTTTAAATAGATAAGATTAGACCATATCAGATATGGATGGACTCGGGTCGGGTGGCCCGACCCGGAACCGGCCCGGGACCGGTACTGTTCTGGCCCGGCCCGGTGGCCCGGTCAGTGACCGGTCCGGGTAGGCCCGGCCCGTGGGTTTTCCGGTCCGGGCTCGGGTCACCCAAAACAAGGCCCGACCCGGACGGGCCAAAAACTATTTTTTTTTCAATTTTTTTTTAAATTTTCGGGTTGGGCTGGGTATTTTGGACCATTTGGGGTAGTTTGGGGGGTGGGAGGGGGGTTAATTAGGAAGAGGAAAACAAAAAAAAAATATATAATGGGCCCGGCCCGGCCCGGACCCGGTGGTTACCCGGGCCGGTCCCGGGTCCACCATTTCTGACCCGCCGGCCCGCCCGGGCCTAGGCCCGACCCGGACCCGGCCCGGACCCGAGTCCATCCATAATATCAGATATTGATAGTTATAAAACACAATATACTTATATACCAGACATGTACAAGACCAAACCTGACCAATTCAGATCAGACCAAACAAGAATTAAACAGATGAGATAAGATCGTACGAGTCCAGAAAATTGAAGTCCAATTAAAAATAGGGAGAACTATCAAATAAGCCCTCGAACTTTCATAAAAAGTGCAAATAAGCCCTTTTCAAGAGGCTTTGTTCGCCTGTCGCCATTTGGGGCGGTTTCCAGTGGAATTTTTTGATGATATTTTTTGAGCATTTTCTTCATTAAGTCTAGTTTACTCATACCAAACTTCAGCTAAAAATTCAATCGGGAAGACAGTTAAATGAATTTTTGAATATAACTGCGCAGTTAGACAGCGTAGTATATTTCAGAAAATCATTTGAATACCTTCTTGGTTGCATTTTTAGCTGAAATTTGGTATGTGGAAACAAGACGTCATGAAAAATATGCTTAAAAAATTTAATCAAAAAATTCCACCAGAAATCGCCCCAAATGGCGACAGCCGGACAAAACCTCTTGAAAAAGGGCTTATTTGCACTTTTTATGAAAGTTTGAGGGCTTATTTGATAGTTCTCCCTTAAAAATATTCTCAATCCTCAAATTTTTTCTTTTGTTTTATGGTTTCCACACCTATTTAGTTTTATTATTATTAAAATATATTTTGGGAATGAACATGTTGTAAACTTGTATAGTTGAATTGTATTAAGCCGCAATATTCTGTACGTGTATATGTGAATTATTTTTAAATGTGGATACATAAAATATAGAAAAAGAACTTTGAAACAATAGAAGATTTTTTTTATTGGAAAATTTATGGTGCACTCACATTTCAGCATGTTTCCGTGCATTCCACACGTGGCACCATCTTATCGGTAACTTAATCACATTTTATTAAAAAGATGCATTTATTGCAAGTAGGTCCTTCCCTAACCCAACCAATTTTATCCCTTTAGGAGTTTATTACGGAGGAAATTACCAAAATACGGGAGAATCCCGTCTGACAGCCCAAAATGCGGGAGTTCCATTTAGGTTACCAAATTACGTTAGTCGGAATTGGAGAATCCGGCTAGAGGAGGGCTTCAGAATTAGGGTTGAATATCTAGTCGGAATTGGTGAATCCGACTAGAGAAAATCCCCAAAAAAATTAAATACACCCTGTCGGGAGTGGGTAATTCGACTGGAGGTTTTGTGATTTTTTTTTCAATGCACGTTCTTATTTATTTGTTTTACGTTCTTATTGATCTATTTTACCAAATAAAAAAAAATAAACCCAATCGGAACCGGGGAATCCGACAGGGTTTTTGATATTTTATTGGATGCATACGTGCTCGATTGTTATTCATTTGTTTTACCAACAATCTCGTCGGGATTGGTGAATCCGACTCGTTTTTATAATTGTCAAATATTTTACGTGTTTAATTTGTGACCTAGCTTTTTACCAAAATCCAACCACACCAACTCCTATAAAATCCGTTGATTTGTTCTCCAAATTTTCAAGCACACTCCAAAAATACATCTCTCTCTAACTATATTCATTATATTTTCTATTTAGCCACTCTCTTCTCATATAAAAATATCTACCGAGGGCAATACTGTTGTTATGGTTCATTGGAATGGCTCTACATCTCAAAAAGATGATGAAATAGAGAGTCCTCCATACCTCCTAGAGCGGTACTATTCATTAGTGGAGGAGATGATTATACTAGTATACATGAGAATGTTCTAAATCATGTTAGAGGCGACGGATTTTCCGAAATTAAATTAATTTACGGAAAATTGCCAAAATATAAAAATTCGGTATATGTTGCTTCTAGATTATGGCCCATTCACGATGAGCAGACATGACGACATTTTCTCCAGATCGCTACAAAAGAGTACGAGGAATTGCACATTTACGTGGAAGCTTCTGCGACCCCGCTACAAAATTTGACGTTCCATGGAACTCCCGGAGAGGAAGGCCCATCATCAGTATATGGTCGGAGGAACAACCGCCAAACGTTTCAGAACTACGAATCGCCCGATATGTATTATTCAAGTTAATTTAGTAATTTGTAACTTTTTTAATTTAGATTGTTAAATTGGAATTTTATTAGAATTAAATTTGGCTATAATTGCTCATTGTATAATCAATAATTACATATCATAGGCTTATCATAAATATTATAACATAATGAGTATATATCACTAATATTAGTAATATATGTATTACTAAGCGTAATATATGTACTAAGCTGATCCTACCTGACAGTACAGACGAAGAAGTGACCAAACACACCAGGACCCTAATATGGCAATTGCTTGGAGGGTCCCCAAGTCATTTAAGGGATCCCCAAGACACTGCATACGCTTGTACCGGGATAACCTAGACCGCATGAGTGAGAGTCAGGTAGTACTTGAAATTTTTACTTCAACCGTACTATTCAATTTTCAATACACATTGTTTTATAGTTCTTAAATTGCAAATTAAACTTTTTACAGTTTGATTTCACTCCATACGCGTCCGAGGAACTCCCACAAATCATCCTTAATGACGCTCCGCTTTGGTCGGCTAGGGTCATGCTCACAATGTGCCCACAACAGGCTACATCCCGACGGCACACGATTGGGGTATTGTGGTAAGTTTTTGAATACATACCATATTCATTAACATATATCGTGTCATATTATTTACAGGTGTTACATTTTTATGCAGAAGCAAGGCTTTTACGATGTTAGTTAGCTCTTAGCCAACAACGTGAGTGCTGAGGACTGTCAAAAATGACTACGGCGGATGGCCCTGGACGTAGGTGATGAAAAGATGCTCCGTCACGACATATTCCATTATGAAGATGAAGATGAAAGTGGAAGTGACGAAGAGGATGATGCAGATGAACATGAAGGTGGGGGTGAGCACTCACAATCGCCCCCTCAATTTTCAACACGTGAGGGTGTCTCATTTGATCAACCACCCCCTCAATTCTCAACGCATCAAGGTGTCTCATTTGATCAACCACCGCCGTATTATGATTCTTATCAGTACTCCACACAAGCGGTTGATTATGTTGATTCATTTCTGGATTCGTCGTCGTTTTACTATGGAGACACAATGGGGCCTTGGAACACTAGCGGTGGGGACGGAGCAGGGCCGAGCACGCAACGTTAGATGTAGTATCATTAAACTTATATTATTGTATGTACTATCTATTTATTAATAAATTACATTGAAACCTACATTTGTTTTGTTCACTTTCATTAAATTTACAAATCGCATTTAAAACAAATTCAAATTTGTATCTCATTTTATGAATTTTATTCACAATACAAATGGATTTAAAAAAATAAAAATTTAAAATTAAAACTTTAGGCCAATTTAAAAATTAAATTGGCGACTAATTAAAAAAAGAGAAATTCGGCCAATTTAAAAATTTAAACATGAATGAAATTGGCCAATTTAGTTTAAAACTTTAGTTGGAAATTAAAAACTTTAATTTAAAAAATAATAAAAACTTCCTAGTCGGAAGTGGTAGATCCGACATGAGAGAATTTAAAAGTTTAGTTTTAAAAAACTTTGAAAATGAAAAGCGGCCAAAAATTAAAAAAAAAAAGAAAAACCCCGTCGGAATTGGCTAATCCGACTGGATGGAGGAAATTGTTTTTCGAAACCCTAATCCCTGGTCGGAAGTTGC